TGATTTAATCTCCATCCAACGGTCAGAGCAACTCCAAGTGGTAGTGAATTTTGGGCCGGGTATTTTGGTCCAGTCCTTGTGTGTTATTGGGCAATTTGGGTCGTTATAGCTTTAGCCTCAAAAAGAGAGTTGCGGATGGGGAGGACGTTTCAGCTGAAGAGAGTTTTGGATTAAGATAGGGCTTCAGCCACATAAAAGCCTTAGAACAATGAAGATCAGCTTCTTCTTTGATTTTTTTACCTTAATCAATTGAGTCTTTGTTGACTCTATCAGATCTGACTCAATGTCTCAACGTGAACTACAGCGTGGCCTCCACTAGGAACTTCGGTGGCGAGGCATAACACCTTCCCGTGAGGATTAATGTAATCACCACCAAATGTTATTTTCTATGTTAATAATGTGGCCCTTAAATTCGAAGATTGGGTGATATTAGAGTCACAAGAGCATCATATCGGGGGATAGATTGTTAGGGAGCAGCAATATCGCTCTGTTAAGCCTAGGAATTGAATAACTCAAATGAGGGTGAATAAATACTATAAAAGGTTTAATATATATTTTTTACTAAATATTTAGATGAGAGGGTTAAAACTTGGCTCAACAAATGGTATCAGAATTAATTCCATGGACTCATTTGACGGAAGAATTGGTGGAAGCAACAATGTTGGCCTAAGGACTGAATAATGGCTGTCAAATGTCATAAAATGCTAGTCTTTCCTCAGTGGAAACCAATTAATTTTCTAATGATTGATGGGCTATAGTCCAAGCTAATAGAATTATCAGATCACAAATAATGATATTTTCTTAAACAATCAAAACATATATTATTGATAATGATAGACAGTAAGCTCAATTAATTAGCCATTTAACTAACTGCCTGATTAATCCATAATTAGGTTATGTCAGTGTCTGTGAAATTTATATATTTATTTTGGATTGTAATGAGATATGATTCTATAGTGGGAGCAGCACAATCTAATAATGGCAATAAACACCACCCTTTGTGCTTTAGTTGACATTCATTTATTTTTTCTCTCCCTATTTCTTGGCATTAATAAACACTGTCCTTAGGCTCCTAGACATGAAATTTGGATTAAAATCTATGTATTAAGATTTGGTCATGTGCTTTGGGTCATTAATTCCATGCATCCCATGATCAGTCACAGTTGCCTAGTTAGCATTTGATCCTACTCTTGTTGATATATTAATGACAGATTTTATAAGTTGATTGATTGCAACGATCAAATTTGTCAGGCATATATTCTTTAACCTTGTCTAGTTTAATTCAATTACAGGTGCAATTTCTAAATTTGCACAATCCCCTTTATGCATGGTTACTTGATACTATGATTCTGTATCATGAACTTTGTATTGTGCATTCTAGCAATTCTTGTGAGGACGAAGCATTGAATTAAGTCACATGCTTACTTGTGTGGGCCTATTATCCAAGAACTTGTATCATTTGATGATTGATGCCATGCGAAATTGCTAGAAACGTGTGAAATGTATTGCTTACCCAATAATGATAGTTTCGTAAAGGTACTTGTCTAATAAACTTTTGAGTACTTGCTAGTGTAGCACTAACTTTTCACTATATCTCTTGATAGCCAAACTATTTGACACAAATATTTTATGAAAGAAAATTGAGTTATTCAGATCCTTGAAGAATAAGAGGATGGACTTTTCATTTCAGAAAAAGTCTACTAGTTGAAAGAAAATGGTCCTTTGTGAAGGTAATCTTTCCTCTACACTTCATAGTGTA